ACAAAACAGACACTTTGAGCACTAGTAATACTCGCATACAGTATGGAGAGTGATTGAAGTTTATGCCAGGTTTTAAAAATACATTAACGTTTTAGTATCAATGAGATTCTACTATAGTTTTTATTTTTATATATGTTTTTAAATTTTTGTTAAAATGTTAGTAATGAATTGTTTGTGTGTTTTTGCCATTTTTTTTATTTATTTCAGTTTTAGTTTAAGTACATCAAAGTTAAACTAAATGAAAATTAGAAATGTTTTCTTGGAAGCAAGCAGAATTAAAATAAGTTTAAATTTTTTTATATTTTATTTTATTTCAATTAGCATTTATCTTATTTCAAGTACCATAAATGGTTTTATGGTTTTTGTTTTGGTTTTAGTTAACTATAATAACCCTGGATATAAAATATTAAACGTTTAGGCATTGTTCAACTCATGCATGTTCAAATCTACATCCACGCATTCGCGCATTTCATCAACTATTTATTATTTACAACAGATACAGGAAGAACCATGAAATCCTTTAAAAAATCCATAGTGAAGGAATGCAATTTACCTGAATTGGAGTCCGGGAACGACAGATAGCATATACTTGTTTTCTAAAATGAGAGAAACAAAGAACACTCAATATCTTACAATTCATCTGAATTCATGTTTAATCTGACACAACGATATAACGATGGTACCTCTTTTTCAGTGAGTTTGGAGTGGTGTAACCTACAGACCTACAGTAGAAAAAAAATAACATGGAAAATGAAAAAAAAATGTATTTTTTAAAACTGCATTTCACAATTAAATGGCACAATGGCACATAGATTAAAATATTTTTAATGCACAAATATTTCATAGCTACTGAACCTTTCAGACATATTGATCACAATGTCAGTCACAGTAACATGCACAAAATGAACTGCTTACACTGCTCTAATATCCTGCTGTGCATGCAACTGTATGCATGCAATTACAGCAAACTGCAATAAAATAAAAAGTAGCAAATTATAAAAGAAAAAAAATTTATACAGTACTGTGCAAAAGTCTTAGGAGATTAGTATTTTCACCAACAACAAAAAATGGTTTTAAGTCAGTTATTTCGTTCTTTTGCTGTAGTGCGTCAGTAGGAAATATCCGTTTTCATTTTCCAAACATTCCTTTTGCCAATAATTGTGATAATCCAGATTTCTATTTGCACAAGGAGTCTGACAGCAGCCAGTGCTGCACACAGCGATCTGATCTGATCATCATCCCGTCTGTCTGGAATGACATGAAGAAACTGAAAAAACTGAGACAGACTCAATCCAGAAGAACTGTGGCAACGTCTCCAAGACACTTGAAGAAACTTTCCTGCAAAGCTGTACTGTGAAAAGTTTTAGGCACTTGTGTACAAATGCTGTAAAGTGAGGATGCTTTCAAAAATAATGCCATAAATAGATTTTCTTTATCAATTAACTAAATCAAATCAACATTTGGTGCAACCACCCTTTTTCACACTTCTCACAGCTTTTCTCCAAGCTACATTTGCACATAGTATTTCAGGTGTCTTTGCAGGAAGGTTTCTCGAAGCATCTCGGAGACGTTGCCACAGTTCTTCTGGATTGAGTCTGTCTCAGTTTCTTCCTGTCATTCCAGACAGACAGGATGATGATCAGATCAGTCAAAAATAATGCCATAAATAGATTTTCTTTATCAATTAACTAAATCAAATCAACATTTGGTGCAACCACCCTTTTTCACACTTCTCACAGCTTTTCTCCAAGCTACATTTGCACATAGTATTTCAGGTGTCTTTGCAGGAAGGTTTCTCGAAGCATCTCGGAGACGTTGCCACAGTTCTTCTGGATTGAGTCTGTCTCAGTTTCTTCATGTCATTCCAGACAGACAGGATGATGATCAGATCAAAGCACTGGCTGCTATCAGACTCCTTGTGCAAACAAAAATCTCACTGGATCATTACAATTAATGGCAAAAGGAATGTTTGGTAAAGGAAACTGATATTTCCCACTGACACACTAGAGCAAAAGAACGAAATAACTGGCTTAAATCCATTGTTTTTGTTGGTGGAAATAATATTAGCCTAAAACTTTTGCACAGTACTGTACTGTACTATATATATAATAATAAAATAATCAGGGCAGATAAGTGTTCCCATCTATTCAAAGACTAGCCGGCTATGTATGTATGTATGTATGTATGTATGTGTGTGTGTGCATGTATATGTGTGTGTGTGTGTGTGTGTGTGTGTGTGTGTATGTATGTATGTGTGTGTGTATGCGTTTTTGTGACAGATGAGGACATAAATTTGTATAATGACAAAGGTATAACATAGGTATTACAAGGAGAAGGTGACTTTTCAGGACATTACCCCATGTCCCCACTTTTCAAAACGCTTATAAATCACACAGAATGGAGTGTATTGAAAATCTGAAATAGCACAAAGTCTCCTGTGAGGGGTAGGTTTAGGGGTAGGGTTGGTGTAGGACAATAGAATATACGGTCTGTACAGTATAAAAACCAGTACACCTATGGAGAGTCCCCCCTTTTCACATATGTATATCTGTGTGTGTGTGTGTGTGTGTGTGTGTGTGTGTGTGTGTGTGTGTATGTGTATGTGTATGTGTATGTATATATATATGCGCGTGTGTGTGTATGTATGTGTGTGTGTATATGTGTATGTGCTATCAAGTATACTACTTGTTGCAAATAGTGGCAATTATCTGCACTTCAGTATTGTAGTACATATAAAACCGTATGCAATAATAACGTATTGAGTGTAAATTATAATTCAAATTTAAATTATTAAATGGATGCCACCTTATTGGAACAATAAATCCCTCCCTACACCTACCCTAACCCTACCCCATACTTTATTTTCAACTTTTTGATTATTTCCTTAATTTTATTGAAAATAAATGCCTTTACGATGTGATACGAGATTTGAAAAGGGAGGGAAAAAAAGTTTGGCAAAAGGCTGGATCGAACCCGGATCGAAAGCCAACGACACAAACTTATCCATCTGCGCCACTGGAGCTGATATTTACAGCCACTTTTAACTAAATGTAAATATACACTCCGTATTTTTTATTCCAGAGTAAGGGCAATTCATACAATACATTTAAACTGAGCTACTTTAATACCATCTCCGAACTTTCTACCACGACTCTGCTGTTCTTCGGCTGGTTCTTCCCTGTATAGGTTGATTGACAGATGTCTCGTCCAGTCAGCGGTGAGTAATCCCAAACCAATGGCGCTGTCTCAAACTATACCTACCTCTTCCGGTTTGTCTGATTTGTCGTTGTGTTTTCTGACTTGTTCGTTTGTTTTCAGATTTGTCATTGTGTTTTCTGACTTGTTATAATGTTTTCTGAATTGTTGTTGTGTTTTCTGAATTGTTATTTAGTTTTTTAGACTTGCATTTGCGTTTGTAATTTGTTATTTTGTTTTCAGAATTGTGATTTGTTCTGCACTTCTCCGCCACCGTACTGGAGAGCTGGCAATCAATAAATTGAAAAAAAAAGTAACTTGCGTTACTTATTTCAAAAAGTAACTCAGATATTCTCTTTTAAATTAAAAAGTAATGCGTTACTTTACTAGTTACTTGAAAAAAGTAATCTGATTACGTAACTTGCGTTACTTGTAATATATTACCCCCAACACTGAAAATAAATAAATTGGGCCAGATAGTGAAGGAAAAGTGTCCAGCATTCATGGGAACTCCTTCAATGCTGTTTTAAAAAAACATTCTAGCAAGCACCTCATGAATATGGTCTAATTTACCTTATAATCATAAAGTCTGTGATCATTTTTATAAGTCAAGTCACCTTTATTTTTATAGCGCTTTATACAATACTGATTGTGCCAAAGCAGCTAAAGCTCTGTCATACAGGAAAATTGTTTGTCAATAATGCAAGAGGACAATAACAAAGAGTAATTTTCCAGCTAAAGTCAGTTCATTGATGATTCAGTGATGTCATCATCCAGTTCAGCTCTCTTCCAATAGTATCTGTGCAATCATTCAAGCATCCCCAACTAAGCAGTGCTTAGGAACCAAAACTCCATCGGTGACAGAAGCCTTGGGAGAAACCAGGATCAGTTGGGGGTCCAGTTCTCCTCTGGCCAGACGAAACCAGCATGGCGTGGTTTAATTCCAGGCTGCAACACAGGTCAGATTGTGCAGAGGACTCGTCTGGTTTCCGTGGTCTTGTGTTGATGGCCAACGAGGTGACGAGGTCTTTGCAGGGGATCTGTCTCTCTGGCGCATCTAGTTGACATGCTCTCCGCTGACATTCAGGCCTGTAGAGGTCATCTCTAGGTGCTGATCCACCATCTGGTCTGGATACAGACTGGATCCGTATGGCTACGGTGACCTCAGAATAAGAATGAAAGAGATTAATATTAGCGTAGGCTAATATAGAAACATAGGGTATACAAATGTAAGAATAAATACAAAATAAATAATTAAAAAATAAATAAATAAATAAATAATATGTAAATAAATGCACGTGGAAATAAATAAATATAAAACAAATGAACACATAAATAAATAAATAAATAAAAACAGCAAAAATAAAAATACATAAAACAGTAAAACCACAACAAATAAATGTAATTAAATTAACAACATCTAAAAATAAAATTTAAAATTAATACATTATTAAATAAAGTGAAAAAAGTAATACAAAAACTAATGTAGGACTAATATAGTCATTTATTCGATTATTTATTTTTATATGTATTTATCTGTATATTTATTCATTGACTTATATGTTATCCTGTTGTCTTTTAAATTTGGACCTTGAGTCTGTAATAAAGTTTTATTGATTGATTGATTGATTGATTATTTAAAGAATCTGCATGTTTGGGCTTCCATACAATCAATTTTCATTCCATATGGAAACGCATTCAGACCCTTTTCTCTGGAAACGCCATTCGTCTTCACAGCAGCCCCGCCCCCGTTGGCGCGTCACCACAAAGTCCCCGCCCCCGTTGGCGCGTCACCGCAAAGTCCCCGCCCCCTTTCTCGGTGGTTTGTGGCCGGTGTGTGTGTCTCTCGACACAGAGGAAGACTTACTTCCAATTATCCTCTCGCACACAGCGATTTTTCCTCCCGTTTTCAGTGTCCCCGGGAGCGGAGACCTCCACGGCTTATCGCGGGACCGTGTCACGGACTTTATTCGTTTACCAGTTTGTTTTCTGGGGAATTTATCGCGTCTCTCAGCGAGCTAAGCTAGGTATCGAGCTCGCGAGCTAATACTGGATTTTCGCGAAATCTCCGCTCTCGAAAGTTGCACAGACGAAAAAAATAACTGCTCTCCCCCGGACAAATCCGTTTGGAATTATTTATAAACTCTCTTCCAGTCCGGACGGCTTGATAAGAAGAGGATAAAAGGCCACTGTTACCTCAGCGAAGCTAACGAGCTAATATGAAGTTAGCCAGCTAACGCTCTCGTGTGCAAGAAAACACCCTCCGAGCGAGCGGTTTATATGGATTTTGGATGGTTAAAAGCTTGCAGATGTCGGGTTGATCAGGTCTTTGAGCTTTTGTTTTCATATTGAATGACTGAGCTGTCTTGGGGAGCGGTGGGTTGATCTGTCCTGCATACTTCAAGCCAAACCCGCTCACCTTATTAATCTTCATTAGGGTTTAGCATTGACGTTAGTGTGTTTTTGTGCCCTTTAATATAGAAGCCATTGCCAGTTAATCTAGAAACGCATGTCTTATTTTTGAGGGAGGATAGATTAGCTGGTCCAACAGGTTGTTAAGTTATATTAGCGTTGTTTTTTTTGGCCAGGTCTATGGTTGTGAAGGGGGATGAGGATGAATTGTGTAGGGAACGAGGTGTAACAGCTCAAATTGTGGACTGTCATCTTAAAAAACAGAGTTGTATGGAATTGGGCAGCTGGTTTGGCATCATGGGGGTCTTGCAAGGGGGCATGAAGTCGTCTACATAGTGTCTAACTAGTCATTTTGACGTTATGAAGTCGGTCAACAAGACAGCCTCGTCTTTTCTTAGAGTTTTTCGTGTTGCTATGTGCGTTGTTCTCCTGATAATTCATTAGAAAGATATTGGAGCAACGGGCCAGTCTGGATCAAGAAACCCTGTCTTTCGTCTCTGGTTGGAGTAGCACTCCCAAGCCGTCCTCAATGCCTTCAGCGCTGGCCGTGTTCACCTGTCGCCCGAATTCACACCCGTTTCAGGAACGTCACGTCTACCTGGATGAGCCGGTCAAGATCGGGCGCTCCGTGGCCCGGTGTCGCCCTGCCCAGAATAACGCCACCTTCGACTGCAAGGTGTTGTCCAGGAATCACGCTCTGGTGTGGTTCGACCACAAGACGGGAAAGGTAAGTCGGGTGTTTTAGCTTTCTCGGCAGGCGGAACAGGTCAGATTGGCTTGAGGTGCAGATGAAAAATGCACCTCGAGCTGTGTTGATTTATTAGGATTTTCTGTCTACAGTAGGCTTATATACATTCAGTGGTCCCCACCCAAAAGTCAGTATTTAGACGCTAAGCCCCAGTTGGTAGCACTTTACTATAAAGCCCAATTAGGATTGACTGTCAATGAGGAATGCATTTGTTACAGTATGTATTAATCTGTTTAACATGAATAAAAATGCAACTTTTTTACTTTTAGTCATTTAGCAGACGCTTTTATCCAAAGCGACTTACAAAGAAGAAAAAGTAATTAAAACTAAAAGCTAAAACTCTATAAATACTATGTATATATATACACATTTAAGAAAATAAAATAAATTGAATAAAAATGACAAATGCATACAACAACATTTCAAAACTAAACATTTAAATGAAAACAAAAAAAACAATTCAAAATATTAAAAGAACAAAAGGTATGAGTATAATAATGATTCTAACATAACACTAAGCCAAACACCAAAAAACAACTATTTGTAACTCTCGTATGATAAAAAAAAGTGTGTATTTTATTTTCAGAATGACATTTTGGAATGTAAATAACAATACACTATGCAATTATTTATTTTATTAAAAAAAAATCATATACATAAAAATAAATATGCTCTTTGCAAACTATAGATCTACCTGACAATATAGCCTATATATATATTTATAAATGATTGACATGGCATGTTAATTTGATTTAAAAAAAATTTTTTTGAGCAACCCCCCAGGCAAATTGCTTAGTGTAATTTGGCCAATAAACATAAATTCTTAAATTCTTATTCTAATTCAGTTCATACAACAGAGAAAAACATAATCCTTTCCGAAATTCCATCTTTGCATAACTTTATATATTTATATATATATTATTTCATTTCCATTTTGTATGTTGAAGTACTGAAATAACTCAAATTAAATAAAACTAAAACTTAATAAAAAACCTATATACACATAATAAAAAAAACAAATAAAATTACAACATTACTACAACTGTAACTAAAATAGATAACTAATACAAATCAAACTACATTAGTTTATCAGTAATCCTAAAAAAATAACACTGAGCCAAACACACATGCTAAAATAACAACAACTTACTGACATATAGTACGAAATGGTTATAAAAAACTGAAACAGAAGTCAAACAAGTAGTAGGAAGGAGGAGAAATAGAAAGCGATACTTCATCAGCTGTTCATCGTTAGTCAATGTTAGCTCAGGTCCATTAAATGTTTACAGATAAAACTTGATTGTAATAATGTTAGGAAATGCTGAAATTAACTGAAAGTAGTAAATGTATTACAGCTATTTTCACTGTTAAAGTTAACTAATGTTAAACCTTATTATGAAGTGTTACCTCTCAATTAATGTCTGAATGCCGTTAAATTGGATAGCAAAATATCATAATACGAACCCAAGTAATTTCACTTTTGCCAGCCTTTTGAAATCATCTTTCTTTTTAAATGAGTATTTTTATGTAATAATATTATAATTAATTGTATGAATAATGTTAAATTAAGTAATTGAGTACTTTAAAATGACAAACAGATAAACAAAGGACACCACAATCCGTAAGAAAGGTAAGATCATAATCCTTAAGAATTTATTTTTATTATTTATGAGTTTAAGAGATTTTACAGTATGGCAAATCTCAGCAAGATATACTTCAAATCTAGGAGAAGTGTTAAGAAATGTGTTCTTGTGAGCAAAATACATTTTGAACATTTTGAAGTCACATTTAAAAAAAAATGAGATGAGTAAATTACATTTTCAAAAGAGAATGTATTTGATTGCTGGTGTTTTGGTTCATTTTAATACACGTATTATGTCAGTTTTAACAGGTGTATAGCTACTAGTGTTTTGCCTGATTACTGATAAATGACAGATATTAAAAATCAATGCTTTGTCTTAGTCTATTGTTTTATCATTCAAAACAAACAACTTTTTGAAATATTTCCACCAGTATTTATACTATAATTATGACAAAGTGGCTTGTTTTAAGTTCAATTTTTTATAAACAAACTGAGAGATAAACAGAAACAATATCAAGGAGGGAAATCTTTATATATAT